CTCCGTTGCCTTGTTGGATTCATCCACGCTCAACTTGAAGTCCGCCATGCTTACGAGTTCCCGCAAGCCTTTCTACCTGAACCTGCTAAATGCTGCCAAAAACGAACTGGATCCGGTATTTTATTTTATGGCACGGAGAAGAGCGAGGACATCAGGATTCGCTCTGTGAAATCAACATGGTAGCCTCAGTTCCATCTGACGAAATTTTCATGTGCCGGGAGGCGGTAGCCTGTGGGGTATTAGCTAGCCTGACCTCAGTCAGACATGCTGGGACCAAGAATTAAACATCTTGAAAACTCAAGGGCGCCGCCGGCCCTTAAGACTTGGCTGTTGCTGCCTTGGGCAACACAGCAGCCCTGCCAAAATGAGAAGTGAACAAGCACGGGGATTCCTGTACAACACCAGTGCATGAGAAAGGCGGGGACTGGAATCAAAAGGGCTAGCAAGTCTCATTCGGACTTGCTGAGCGCACCCAGCACCTTAAAGACTTACCATCACCCGACTGACTGCCTTGGCAGGAGTAGCGAAGTTGAAGGCAGTGCCAGAATCCTCATGCGAGATGCTGCAGAAGAGTTGGCAGAAGTGACACTGTTGACCTCCAACATCCTCCAAGCCCTGCACTACCCCACATGCATGACGTCGGCAAGGACACAAGACCGCGATTGCCCTTAGGGCCGACAAGAGGGACCGGAGTCCTTGTGCGCATTTTGCGCCACATGGTCAGGGAGGATAACATTATCATCTTTCTTATTCTCGATGTGCGCCATCGGATCGGCCTGCAGCTTCTCACAACGCTGTTCACCGAGAGTGTGGCTACTCGCAACCTGGCTCACGGACGTGTCGAAGCTGGGCGGTATGGCCTTCCACACAGGAAGCATCAGCTAGCCATCCAGGCGCGATTAGATGCGGCCTCCTCCTGTGAGGATGATGCCGCAGAAGTTTCAAACTCCATCCCACCGAAAGTGCTCTGAGAACTCATTGTTTCCTGGTTCGGAGCTACGAAGATGCCAGACAGAATGGTTCATGGAGGACTGTATCGCACCTGCCGTCCAGGAGGCACCAACCCGACTGGCTTCAGCTCCTCTGCGACTTCTGCATTGCAGTGGCCGAGGCGACACTGCCCCCGGGCCCTGAAATGCACCTGGTCGGAAGGCCTCCGGCCTTTTCCCGGTGCCGTCTTCTCCACGGTTCGACCGCTTTGGACAGCCTCCGTCCGGCACAGATCAGGCACAAGGGCAACTGGCACCTGCTCTCGAGTGCGTTCCGAGTCTCGTCCAAGTCAGCAGTGTGCAGGTCTTTTGCCAATGGATTGGCCTGAGGCTTTGGCTGCAAGAGAACTGACAGGCAACTTCCATACTCGGATCCTGTAACACCGATCCATCTTTCGCGGGCTCATGCACGTGACTTCTTCGAGAAGCCTGACTCCGCAGCATGGTTGCTACTTGCAAACCTCCCAAGCAGCACAGCGACCCAGTTACCAATTGCATCAGGAAGCTTGCGGCGGACTCCTTCTTTGATCCTGCTTTTGGCTCGCTCTGCCGGACTGCCTCGGCGTAGCCTCGTACTATTCGAGGGACAGATTTCTCTTTTTGAGCATTTTATGTAGCTCTCTGTGACCTAGGAAATGCAAGCCGAGCATCCTGAGGAGAAGCTTCGTTGCTGTCGTTCTTCGCACTTACTCGGCTGTTGCTCCGTGGCGATCCCTGCTGCGAAGGCCTCCATTGTCTCGGCCCGACCTCGGTGAGCCAGTCGCGAGTTGAAAGTTGTCTAAAGTGCGTGCATTGCCACTGTGCTGCTGATGAATGCTCCAGTGCTTTTGGACCGTTAGCCTGGCCAGGGAGAGGTCCTTTCTCACACATGTGGTCCCAGCACACAAACTTAGCACAACTGTCTGAAGATCGCGTTGCTTGTGAAGCGCACATTCGCACCGGAGCAATAACCGTCATTTCGTAAACCGTCTCACATGCCCGAAAGCCTTCGTTTCGGACGCGGGCATGGTCTCGGTCAGGCAACCAAAGCGTGCCATCGTGGTCCGCCCTTCTCCAATAGAAAAGCAGCAGACTGCTGCCAAGGGTCTAATGTGGGCGCCTCTGGCCCAGTACTCTTCTCCCGGCGATGTGCCTCTAGATGGCTACTTCGTCCACAAGCTCCCCTGCCCTTCTTCTGCACAATATTTCGGAGAAGGATTGTGCAAAGACCGCAACCAGCAAAGCAGTTCGCATCATGCAGTGCTACTGTAGTCCTGCAACCTTCGCCAAGGCATGGGCATCACCTTCCACCGGTGTGGAAGGGCGGCCAGCCTGACAACATGACGAGATTTGTCACTTCAACCAAGCAGTCTTTACTCTTGGCTTCCGGAACTGCCCTCAACACCTCCTGTTCCGAGGATCCTAAGCTAAACCAATCCTCCAGACGTTTTGTGAGGTGCAACGCAGAAAGACAAGTGGTCACAACCAACAGGCATGGACAAACTGTCCGGATAGCAAGAGCGGGATGATGCGAGATGTGTGTCTGTTGAGACAACGGAATTTTGAGCTTGGGCTTGAGTCTGCGCTTGGCGAGGTATCAAGCCCCAGACAGCAACTACTATGACGTGCATGGTCGGCTTTTTGACAGCTACTGCGAGTGGCAGCAATTGAAAAAAATGGAAACCTGTGCCAATGAAGAATCCAGCCCCTGGAAGCAGATGTTGGGTGCACTTTTTCGGGGCGACGGGTGCACTGTTCAAACCTGTCAACACTTGGAGACAATTGGAGTTCCGGAATTGTAGCACCACCCTCGCATGAGAACAGCATAGAGAAAGTGCGCCTAACAAGCCTAAGCATGGAGCGAGCGCACATGGACTCGCGAAGGTGCAACGTTTCCTTCTTGCATTTCGTCTGCAGTGGATGCGAGGCGAGTGACCTCTACACATCTTCATAGGCGGACGGCGCAGGTTTGACTGCAAAATACGCTGGTTGGCGCAGATGCGGCGTGTCTGGGGCCAAGTTCGAGGCCGAACACAATGAGAACATCATCCTTGGGTGACTCTGGAAGGTAGGAAGCCAGTGGCCAGCGCAGTGCACTAACCACCACCACCGCACGCCCTCGAGGCCCGACCGTCCATAGTATAGATGCTTAAAAAATACATACGCAGCAACTCCTGTGGTTCGAGGGCACGGGCCCTATGCTGACGCGTCAAGCGCACTACACTGAATGTCTGCAAGACCCGCTTCCATGCATGCATACAACTTGTGAAATTATCACTGACATGCTGGGGTACATTCCACTGGATTGCCGTCTAGATCACCGCGAAGTCACCCCCCCTCCTTCATAATATCACCTCATGGACTGGCCTTTGGTTTGGAAACCTGTCGTCGGAACTCCGCATCGCAGTCCTTGTCTTGCTGACAGCAGTCTTGCACTGGTCTCGCATGACCACACACATGTCCAAGCACATCTACTCTGGATGCAATGTAATCTAAGTGTAGTTCACCCCGTAAGCTGCAACGCACCTAACTGCAAGCAGACCAAGAAACCGATTGCATCGGCAGTGCAGCACCTTGAGATGTTGGTGTGCTGGGCATGCTGCTGGCCTGCACAATCTGAGAAACAAGTTCAGGCACCTGCAGGCATCTCCGAATAGAACCAGCTTGGGAAACGCTAACTTCTGCAGAGCAGCCTTCTCGTGGCCTTGCTGGCGTCTTCGTATCAAGGACCCCGTCTGCAAGGAAGATAGGCGAAAAGAGCGTTCGTGCAAAGTAACATGCACGTTCTGCAAGATGTCGCAACACTGCGTGCCTCGCCCTCGCCCAGAGTATGCCCTCCAGCCTTGCCCCAGCCAGGCTTCAGACGAAGCGTGAAAGGAACACCCAGCCAGGCGCTCGGACCTGGGCCTTGAAGGCCCTTGGACTGCTCTGTGCACTCGGAGGTGATGGAACCTCCTCTTTCGCCTCCCCAGAAGGGCGTTGTTGCCAAGTTCGCACTCTCCATCCTTACGCAGCATACCACACACCCATTGGTTCCTTGAGCATGCTCTCCTTTTCCGTTGCGGAGATGGGATGATTGCCTGGATACGACGACCGCTGCTTTGCATCATATCCCAAACTTCACGGCTCTCGTGTCCTTCCGGTTGTTCCGGCTTCTCAACCTGCTGGCCAAAGAAGAGGCAGAAGTCCTGCAACAACATGCCCGAGGCACTGGATGCGGTGGAACCCAGGCGGGCTCCTTGAAGCTCAAGCGTCCCTCCTGCAAAAAGGGTGAATGCAGCACACGTCAAAAGCTGTTTCGGCTCGCTGTCCTTTTTGACCTCGTCGGGGAAGTATCCTCCTGAGTCTGCAACGAGAGGCCGCAGGTCCTGTCGAATAGCGAGGTCACAACGAGCGGTTGGTCAGTACTGATCAACTGCATGCCTTCAGCAGGATCTGCAGTGCTTGCCGCGGGCAACCTCGGTCAACTGCCTATAAACAAGCACATCCAGAGGACATGGCTGGCTTGTCGCCTTTTTCCCCAGCACAGAGTGCTTGGAATTCCTCGCGCGGAAGCAAGGCAAGCAAGGCTTCTGGGTTAGGAGCTCAGAGTGTAGAGCCAAGGCCGGCGCCTGGGACAGCAAGGCATAGATCTCGTCGGTTGAGGCCAGGAGACACGCAGCACAAAATTCCAGGTACTGTATGGAGCCATCACGATTCTGATCAAGCGCATTCACCAAATTCTTTGCCGCATCTTTTTGGATTCCGAGCATCTGTGTTGCGCTGAAAACCTGAGTGGCCCAACAAGCTCGGTGCATCGCGAACAAGGGGACTTGCCTCATTCCTCTCCAGCATGCCATTGTCATCGGAGTCAAGCTTGCAGAAGGCCTCGTTTCGAACGTAGGAAACTCGAAACAGAGGAGGCTTGGCAAATGCTGTACCTGAGCGAATCGATCCACAAAACTGCATGTCGAAGCCATCTTCAGGAACAGTGCCTTAGGCCAGCAAAGACAAAAACAGAAATGCGCTAAAAGCGGCGTTGCTACGCGTTGCTACGCGCCCCGCTTTGCCGCATTGACTGGTGCCTGCCCAACGAGTCAGTGCCGTACCTAAGTTACTGCTGCCATCGTTCCCAGCTGTCAGATTGCATAATGAGGGCGTGTGACTTGAATACTCTCTCCATGCGGCATAGATGCGAAGGAAGGTCTTCTCTTCTTTTCCCAAATTGCTCTTTTGCTGCTTTAACCAGGAGTGCCTCGGCAATTCTGCAACGGACAGAGAGGAAAGACATCAGCCAGCCTCCGAAGGAGCTGCATGGAGAGATGGAGAGAAACTGAGTCGAGCAGCTTAAGGCAGTCGGTTGCGCTGGGTCGACCAACTTCCCTCGAGGCGGCCGCGGACAAAAGGAAGGAATCTGGCAAGCAGTGCTACGCTGTGATGCTGAGGTACAGCTGTGCCTGAAGCTCAGCAGCTTTTGGCACAGGTCTTTGGCGGACGTGCTGCATCCTCAGTACTTGGTCGATATCACAAGCCGGATCAGTTCTCGCTTGTGTCTGCTGCAGGGGTGGCCAACCTGCAACCCGCCGACATGCGACATCTGCGCAGCAAGACGTTCACGCATGAGCCTTTCGGCTCCACCCAAGCCCAACATCGGAGGTGGGCTTCAAGCTGGTGCCCATGCCCGCAGTTTCATGCTCGACACATCGGACAGCGCATAATTGCTCACAAGGAGGGCAGCCGCTAGCCCCTTCCCACCCGCACTACCAAGACTACAGTATTCTCAGTCGGGCCGAGGCAGACGCTGTGAAGCGTTTACAAACAAACAGTGATGTCGAGGGACCGCACATGAGCCCTGTTCTACAGCAAGCGAGACTTCAAAGCCAGATCTCGGAAAGAGGCATCTTGCTGTTTTGTTGCTGGAGATGGCTGGGTGGCCCTGGGTGGTGGGAATGGAGTAATTTATTTGATCGAACTCTGCACCGAATGATGCAAAATGCTCAGCAAGACATTAGCAGCGGCAGAACGTTGCAACTCCAAGCCTACACAGCCTGCACCCCAGCAGCAATGGAACATATTAACAGTTATTAACACGTTAGTAACCGGTGCAGCTTCACGCTCGGCTTTTAAGAGATGGCACTGTCCAGAGAGTCTAAGAAAAAGCTGGGATCCTGTTGAGAGATTCGGCTTGGCTAGTGTTTGGCAGCCGATGGAGGAGGCCTGCTGCAGGCTACGGGACCCCACCACCCGAGAAGCTCGAACCTCCTCAGCATGTTGGGTCATGTTGGGTGGTTGGGCTCTGCCTGTTGCCAAATCAGGGGCAGCAAGCAGGTTCCAGATGCTCTGAGAACTTGTCGGAGTTTGTCCCACTTCGGGCCCTGCTTGTGCAGCTGGAGCCACGCTTCCTGCCAGACAGATGTGTCAAAATCTGCCCCTCGTACGAAAACTGCAGAGCCTGATGCGCATCAGCATCCGCCATACTTCCGGACAAATGGAACGGCAAGACATTGGCAAACATCTCGTACATGACGCATCCCATGCTCCATCTCGGCTTGTGCCATTGATTTGCGAATAAGAACCGAAAGGCAAGCAAAAAGCTGAACTGTCTTTTTTATTGCTTGAGGCCCTTGCATGTCCGATTTTGCACTGCAGTTGCCCAGCAAGCACTCTGGAGACATTGTCGCCGGTGTTCCAGCAACCCTCAGAATCCAGGAGGTGCACGGGTGCACGTTTACTGCCTCATCCAACAATCTATGCAGCATTTAGTCAAACGAATGTCCAAAATGTTGCGGCGCTGCGCTTCCGTAGGATTTGCTCTGAACAAACTCGCACCGCTCGCATTGCGCTGTTGTGTATTGACAAGCATAGCCCGACCGCACAGAAGTTGAGAGCACCACGCAAAATTCTGTTCCCCCCATTCTCGCCGAGGAGCTTTGTGCCACGTGCAACGAAGGGACTCGACAGACCCCGCATACAAATCTCGGCAGTGCCGAAGTCGCTAACTACAACCTGAGCTTGCAAACACTGCTGTCAACAATCTCATGCAAGCTTAAGCCGAGCAACATGAGGAGGCCGACCAAATGCCCGGCCATCGTCTGACACCTCGGCTGGGCCATGTTACCAAAGCTACTTCAGGGCTGCACAAAGCGGCATCGCACATACGTCGCGCAGGGTGGTTTTGAATATGCGAGGGGCGATGCTTCGCAGCAGCAAGAGGTTTTCCACTTTCAAGTCTTTGTGCACAATGCCCTTGTTGTGCAGATATACGAGGGCCTGTCACAGGAGCCATTGCCTGGGAATACTTCGAAGGGGTGCAGAAAGATCCACGGACCTGAAAGGGCTGTCGCAGTGCACACGCAGCCCACGACTCCTGACGGGAATTGCGGCAGCCGGGCACACAAAGTCAAACAGGTCTTGAGAAGAATCCAGAAGTTGTCTCGATCCTCAAGGACAGCACCCCTTGCTCTGCCCTTGCGGATGGCGCTCAAAAGCTCGCCGCCCTCACAGAACTGGCAGATCAGTGTTGCCTCGAGACAAACATACAAGATCACAAAGGCATTAGGGTTTCAATTCCGGGCAAGGATAGCCTGATCGCCGTTCTCGAACCATTCAAAAAGTCTGAGGATGTACCTGACTGTTGCAAGCATGTCAGCACGACGCTTCACAGCGCTTGCTAAAACCTACCAGCATGTGCGTGCTTGCTTTGAATCCCCATCACTGCAAGACAGGGCGCGGATGATCTGCATTCTGCATGACCATTCCTCCACAACGACTTTGCGTGACGAAGATCTCTGACTATTGCTGAACAGCCATCCAAAAATCTTCCCATGACCACACCCTTCCCGAGTTGGTTTCGTCCGAAGTGTCCAAGGAGCTCACAGAAGCTTTCCTAAACTCCTAAAATCGCGGGGATATCTGCACGGCAACACAGATGCGAGACTTGACATCAGAAAGAGCTGCATGGCTTCAACACTTGAGCCTACAGTGCGACTTGCTACACCGTGCGACTTGCTACACCGACCGAACATGACCAGGACAGCCCGGCCTTCCATCCGGAATCGCTCGCGCCCCCATCCTTCGGGCCTGCGACGCGACCACTAGCTCGAGGGCTGGGCATATCAGACAAGTTCGCAGGCGAAGCATTTGCCTTGCGATAGATTTGGAGGCCTCGGTCAGCAGATGGCGCAAACAGAGCGCGAACGCAAACGCTCGTGCAAGAACGCACAAGAACAAACACACACTCACACACAGCAAAGCCAAAGGGGAAGAAAGGGATTCACAAGAAAGCTGCTGGGAGTGGCTGGTGAGACATCTGCTGGCTGTGGTTATGAAGACGGAGGTGAAGATGATGATCGACACCAAAGGGATGAAGAGGAAGATGATGATGATGATGATGATGATGATAATGATGGTAATGATGACGGTGACGATGATGACGATCATGATGATGCTGATGCAAACTAAGGTGCGCCTGACTAGTACATGTGAAATCTGTGACAGTTCTCTTCACGAACTGTTGTCTGCGTTAGTGAAAGCTAGTTGACTAATTACTTACCTAGTTTGTAAGCTAGCTAGGTAGGTAGGTAGGTAGGTAGGTAGGTAGGTAGGTAGGTAGGTTTGTAGGTAGGTAGGTAGGTAGGTAGGTAGGTAGGTAGGTAGGTAGGTAGGTAGGTAGGTAGGTAGGTAGGTAGGTAGGTAGGTAGTTAGTTAGTTAGCTAGTTAGTTAGCTGGCTAGTTGGCTGGTTAGCTGGTTAACCGGTTAGCTCGTTAGCTGGTTAGCTGGTTAATTAGTTAGTCAGTCAGTCAGTCAATGAATGAGTTACTTAGTTAGTTATCTTTTTAGTTAAATGAATAGCTATTTAGTTAGCTAGCTAGTTGGTTAGTTGGTTAGTCATTTACTTAGCTCGTGAGGTAGTAAGCCAACCAGCTAGCTAGCTAGCTAGTTAGGTAGGTAGTGAGTTGGCTCGGCAGGTAGTCAGTCTGATGGATAGCTAGTTCGTTAACCAATCAGTCAGTAAGCCAACCAGCCAGCCAGCAAGGTTGGCTAGCCGATTTACCTATCCAACAACTTAGGTATTCAATCAGTTAGCTAGCTAGCTAGTCAGTTAATTAGGCAGTTGACTAAGTTGACTAGTTGGTTAGTTGGCTGTTGGCTGGTTGGTTGGTTGATTAGTTTGTTAGTCTGTAAGTCGGTTAGTTAGTTAGATAGTTAGTTTGTTTGTTGGTTTGTTAGTTAGCTAATTTGTTCGTTTGGCTAACTACCACGACTACCACTACTACCAGTACTACTGCTACTACTATTACTACCACCACCACGACTACTCCTGCCACCACCACGACTACTACGACTACCAATACTACCACTACTACCACTGCCACTGCCACTACCACTACCACTACCACTGCCTGGGCCACTGCCACTGCCACTGCCACTGCCACTGCCACTACCACTACCACTACTACTACTACTACTACTACTACTACTACTACTACTCTGGTCTATAGCATTGCACGCCGACACCAGTGGTCAACGATAGTCATTACGTTGAACAATCAGGCAGGCCTCCATATCGACAAGCAGAATGCCCCCCAACGTAGTTTGGTGGTGGGGCTCTCCCAGCATCTGCAGGGCAGACTGTGGATACAGGATGTCGGGTCCCAGATAAACTGCGGACCGGGTCTGCGCCAGACCCAAGGCAACTTCTACGATCTGGGAGGCCGGGCATACCTGATGGTCACTCATTCTCGCCTGCATTGCACAGAGCAGCCTTTGAATGGCAACCGCCTGGTGTTGATCGCCTTCCTCATTAACTTGAGGAAATTGGCTTTTGCTTGCCGACTGTTGTGGAGGCGGAGGAGGTAGACTGAGCTCTTGGCGGCTTCCCTTTTTCGGTTATTACGGAATGTTGTTCTATGCCCTCCGTCTTCCCGCCCTTGGTTGGTTTCTCCTGCTTCCCCCTAAGTTTATAGGATGCTTTGATTCTGCTCTGCACTGCCCTACACTGGATGGCACGGTGGCCATTATATGAGGGTCGCGTGGGCCCTCGGGCCCTCGCCTTTTCTGTTGCGCAGTTTTCCGTAGCCGGTGTGCGGATTGGGCCGAGTTCGCCAGCAAGGCATGCCTGTGGCCAAAACTCTATGCCGAGACAACTGCACGCAGAAAGTTGCATTTGCAGCATCTCTGGTGTCTGTGGGGGCTGCTCCCCTTTGCCCTGCCCTTGCTGTTCGCAGTTCATAACCCTCGTTCCCAAGCACCACATGCTTCCTTGAGGTCTACTGCTGCGTGCGGAAGAGGCCGGACCTCACAGGGCAAATGCCGATGTTTTTTCATCTGACTCTGCTGGAGGTACGTTGGCGATGCCGAGCCTATTATTATTATTATTATTATGAGGTGGCCCAACCTGACACTGGGTTTAGGGTCACAGGTGCGTAGCAAGGCAGCATGGAGCTGCATGGTCAGCGCAGCACGGCGCGACTCGTCTGAGCATGCAGGGCAGAAACCCGAAAACTAGGGAAAAAGGGGACCTAAACCAACCCCAAAGGGAAAAGGGAAAGGAACCAAGGCCGAAACCCAAAACAACCCTAGGGCACGAAAAACCTAGGGAAGGCCAGGAAAGAATGCTGGGAAAGTCAGTCAGGAGACAGACCATCTCCAAAGCAGGCGGTCATGTGGATCCCTAGCTCACAAGCCGCAACTTGCATGGCGGCACGCTTGCCTGGATCCCGAGAAGCGAGTAATCCAGCCGCTTTTTGTAGTGATTCTGGGTTGCGAACCCCAAAAGGTAGGGACGACACCCCAACGTCGTTGTAAGCCCAAACGATTGTCCTCAAAACGCGGACACTCAGAGAACAGGTGCCGAGCTGAGCAGCGTACCTCGGTACAGAAGGGGCACGCAGTGAACAATGAATTGCGAAAAGCATGCTGGCGAGTTGGCGTCCAAATGGCACCAGAGCTAAGAATCTTCAGGAGAGCCAACTGGTCATGAGAAAAAGTATTCAGCCAACAAATCCAAATATGATGACTGGAGGCCTCAAAACCGACGTGCTCGAGACCCTCCCTGTCCAGGCGGGAGGCAGGGATGGAAGGAAGCACTTGAAGACGTGCGGCCTGGCGCAACACGTGGCCGCCTGCGGGAGTGTCAACGCAGAAAACACGAGGGCCGGCGCGAGAGGGTTTTGCAGCTCCCCGCGTGAGCACAAGAAGGCGACCATCACACGCAGGGAGGAGTTCAAGGACCAAACCGGAAGAGGCAGTGAGCGAGACAACGCGCATGCGAAGTTTTTCGGCGTAGGTTGCCGCAGCACTGAGAAGGAAAGGAGAAGAATGCTGGATGAACCGCGAGACACGCAGCAAGCCGAAGACGGCTGTACCAAGCACGGGGTGTATGTGAATGCGTTGAGCCCACCACCTGCCTTGGCACCACCAAGTGCAACGGGTGGAAAGGATGGCCCGAAACAAAGCGCGAACAGTACGCTCGGGAGGAGGGGCGATGAGAGGACAACCCCACCGGGCTTTTGGCAACACAAACGCTGAAGCCAGGCGCTCGCGCACCTTAGCAGCACCGGGGACCGCAGAGAGGCGATTGATGACTGCTTCAAAAGCGCACCAGTCGGGGGAGGATAAGGGCATCAGGGTCACCTAAGAAAACCTTAAGGCCTAAGTGTTCAACTGAGTGGTCTTGTCCGGAAACCCACAGTTGGCGCTTGGCACGGTTCTCGGAGACGCCAATGGCCTCATCGGAAACAGCAGTGCGCTGAATGGCCTCCGCCAGGTGCTCGACAGGACGGTCGCCCTGAGCGACATTGGTACGATCGTCGACGAAGGCAAAACGTTGCTCATCCTGACAGGAGTCACCACACCAAGGGGCGAGGACCATGCCAAGAACAGCCGGTGCAACAGGGTCACCCTGAGGCAAACCACGCAAAGGTTTTATGGGAGCGGAAGGAACTCCACCAACGACGCAATGCCTCGGGGCTTTCCAAGCGCGCAAAAGGATTTGGCGAAGGCGCCGGTGGATCCCATGGGTTTGCATTGCAACGTCAGCGACACAATGGTCGATAGTATCACAAGCCTTGGACAAGTCAAGTTCGGCAACACCAGTTTTTGGGGTGGCCAAAAAGGCAGCGGTGGCGTGAAGAGAAGACACGCCCCGGCGACCGGCCCACGGCCCTTGAGGCTGCTCGGGAAACAAGCTAAGGAAAGCCTCGTGGAATCCAAAGAAGTGCGCTTGGTACTGTCTTCCAATCCCAAAGATTGGAATCAGGGATGTTCTCGGCACGAGACGTGTCAAGCCACAACTGGTAAAGTTCCTCCAGAAGGAAAGGAGCATGCTTATGCAGGGCACGCAGCTCAGAAGAACGCCAACCGTCAAACCCGGCGGACCCGGAAGCATCAACGGCGGAAAGAAAGGCCTCAAGCGTAGGCCAAGTGTCGTCAGGTGGCTCCGAAAAACCAACACCAGCGGGGAGGTGTGAAGGCGAGGACTTAGAGGAAACCTTAAACCCGGGACTAGAGGAAGCTAAATCAACCCAAGCGTTAGCAGGCTGAACAGGCACAGCATCAGGACACCAGACGGCTTCCCAATCCTCACGCATGTCGGACGCGGTGAAGCAAGGAATGATGGGAGAAGGACGCAAGGCGTTGCCGGCGGCAGGCCAAATGTCAGAAGACCACTGGCGAAAGTGTTTCTTCCAGGCGGAAGTGTTGCTCTGAGCAAGTGTGCGGTTGCAAGCGGTGATGGCATGGTTTACGCACTCAATGGCATCCCTTCAAGATGACCAGACCAGCAGGCAACACGATGAGCCCGGACTGCTCAGCACGCATTAAGCGACGCCAAGTAGGTGCAGGGATGGGGTTATCTAGGGCATTAGGGTGGGAGCGGCAAAGTTCGCTTAGGGTACGGTGCAAACGCTTCAGACGACGAGCGGCGACAGTTTCCTGACATCTATGCAAAGGAACGGAGAACGGGGCCGCAAAGAAGCGACGGAGCCTTTCAGCCGTTCAGCAAGGACATCGCGAGAGGCAAGTCCAGCCTCACAGGCAAGCGAAAACAGACCCTCAGCCCTAACACGCCACGCATCCCAATAGGGGCACCGACCGGGGCAGGCAGGGGGAAACAAGAGGTTAAGACGATCCGCAATGGGACTGTCAGAGGCAATTACAGACC